TTTTTTTTTTTTTTTTTTTTTTTTTTTTTTTTTTTTTTTTTTTTTTTTTTTTTTGTAGGAAACTTCTCAAGTGGGTAAAAAAATGTCGCCCGCTTTACTGACTCGTAAATCCAAATCTTTTTATATATCTTCGATTCTTTCTTCTGATACGAGCATGGAAACTTCACAATTAAAAGTACTATCTACGTTGCACAATGTTGAACATGACAAAAGTGAAAGTGAAAAATCAGTAGAACAGTCTGAAGAAGATACACAAGTTAACACGAAGTTTACTGAAAATGAGTTTGATGAAGAATGTTTTTTAGATATGGATCAAGAAGAAGAAGAAAAATGTCAAGAAGACTATAATGTAGAGGGTGGTCTACAGGAGGACTATGAAAAACTGAGTTCTTCAAATACATTCTTTAATACGGATGCACACAAAGACAATCAGCAGCTAGAAAATTTGGAAAAAGAGCTGGATGACAGCGAAGAGAATTTCGATGAAGAATTGTTTCACAGTTTTTCAAGTTCCTTCACTGAGAAAGATGAAAATAAAGACAATCGCGCTCAGCTGAGAGATAGCCTGGTGATAATCCACAGCAAAGAACAACAAACAGATCATTATTTTAATGAAAAGTGCTTAACTGAAAATTTGAGTCCAGTTACAGTGAACGACAGTATTGGTTTTAGTCACACAAAACCAACTTTTATTAATAGCCAGGGTATCGCTGGCTTTCAAGAATACGAAATAACCGACGATGAGTCGAAAGATGGGCAAGAAAGTGTGTCCCAGTTTGTTGTAGAAATGATGCCAGAAACTGGAGTAGCACGGAAAGATGATCTTGTCCTGAGTTTTTTGAATTCTAATACTTCTGGTGAAGGAACGATACAAGCCGAAAACGTACGATCGAGATCAAGGATAGAAGAATCCGGACAGCATCAAAGCATTGAAGAAGAATATGCAAATCCATTAAAAAATTATTTATATAAATTCGTATCAGAGGAACTGGAGATGTTACCCGAATCTAATGTAAGTGGAACACATCAGGCCTTTTTGGAACCACCGAAACAAGCATCTCCTCGACCTCCTATAAGAAGCATCTCTACAAGCTTTGATTCCAAGGCTTGGGAGAAAAAATCCGAACATATTCCAGACCAAGTAAACCAAAGTACGTCATTTCCAGGGGAAATGGAAAAAATATTGAAACATGCAAAAAAAACATCCGATGTTCCAAACATATTCATCGAAAAAGTCTCATGATCGTCTGATGTTAAAGAACCTGAGGAAGATAGCAACATGTTGACTTTACCAAACAACCCACTTATGGAGCCGATAGATCATTGTGAGGAAGAGTATTTTAGCAAATTCACTCTTACAAAACGAACTCGGGGACGACCTAAAAAAGTAATTAAATTATCAGAGTCATCAAAATCAACTTCAACAATACGCACGAGGAGAGCTGGATCTTCTACCAATAATGTAGCCCCTACAGTGAAACCCACTAGGGAAACTAGAGCTGCATCTGTTTCTAAAAAAAATGTTGATTTGAAAACTGACGAAATGGCTGAAGAACAACAAGTATCTACAGTGCGGTCGTCGAGAGTATCTAAATTAAAAAAAAATACTTCGATAGTTGCTGACAAACGCTCAAAGGCTGGATGGATATCCAAGGATGACGAACAAATTACATCTACTGAATCGGTACCTGCCAACGATAATCTGCCAATGTCTCACACTCGAAGTAGAATAGCTAAGTCCGTAGACAATGATAAAAAAGGATTGCCAGAAATAAGACCAATGAGAGCCAGGACCGTATTAAAAAATAAACAACAATCAACCACCACCAGAAAAAACAGAGCAGGTTCGGTAGTCCACGAAAATGATCAGGCTACACCCACAGAGAAAAAAGATGATAAACAATGTTTGAGGAAGACGCGAGCCTCGTCACTGGCAAAGGAAACCAGTAAAAATATCACNACTCGAGGGGTGCAGTCAGAGCTACTGCGAGAGATAACCACAGCTGGACCCATTGTACTAATCATGCCTAATGAAACCTACCGTAGGTGTCTTCTTGCAGGGCTTGTGCCTTTTGATTTCACCGTTCAAGATTATAGTGTAAGAGTAGAACAAAAAATAGCTCGAGAAATGCTGCTGTCGTTATGCCTAGATCAACGGTGGGCCAATTTCTTATTGCGCTGTGCCATAGAGTGGTCGGATGGCAGTGCAGAGTATCTATACTTAAAATTTCTGAGGTGGAGTATCCAACGTGGATCTCAAATCAAGTTGATTGCCGATCGTTTGTGCAAGCCGTTGTTTGATCAGTCGGGTGTCAATATAGACGAGTCTGAGTTGAAAACGTTACATCACTGTGTTCAGCAACTCGAGTGTTTGAAGACCGTTATATCAAAATTACCCAATACTGAATACGATTCAACTAAACATAAAAGGGCCCTTAAAAAAATAGCAGCCTATTTTCAAGTTGTGTTGTGGTTTAATGATGTCGGTCTGTTGCCGGAAATGCAAAACATCGACGAAAGCGATGACGTGCAAATTTCAGCGCTTACGAAAATTCAGTATCCAAGAAATAAACTTGTAGAGTCTTACAAGAAAAAAAGACGAGACGCTTGTACTAAGGAAAATAAGGAAAATGATGTTTTATTCATTGATCAATTGATTGCCAGAAATTGTTCACCGCTCAAAGTGCAATGGAAAGAAGAGTCAGACAGTGCGTGTCCTAGTCAAGATGGTCTTTATCCTCCTCCATCGCTGCAGTCTTTGCTTAGGAGTTTTTTAACTGACTGCTATTGCGAAGAAAAAAGTGACGAAGAGGAGGATGAAGATGGTCAATTACCTGAAACGTACACTAAACACTGCATCGTCTTCTACTTGCTCATGGACTTGTGCATGATTCTCAAAGACTCAAATTCAGCAGTCGATCAACTTATGAAGTATCCCGCAGGTTTTAAGTTGAGTCCTAGTATTATTAAACTCATCCGAGCTTTTTGGCTTCTCGATCACGAGGATTACGATGGCTTTTTCAACATCATGACAAGCCAAATTGTTTCCAGCAATGACATCGAAGACTGGCAGCATGAGCTCGTTATAAATTCACTTTTAAAAAACAATCAACACAAATTAGGTACGTTTTCAAATTTTAAAAATATGTAACATACATTCGCAAGCTGTCAATTAATTTTTTTTCATCATTTCTTTTTTACCAGCTCTAAATTATCTGCTCATTATTAAACCACCAGTGATATCGTCCGATCATCGGCGCATAATGATCGATCTGGCGGTGGAACAGGGTCATCTACTGTTAGCATTCCATGCACGACCGCAATCGGATTGCGGACCGTTACTCACGAGTTTCTTCCACTCATGTGAAAAACATGGAAAGCTCAGAAAAATTTTGCAACTTCCCTTAAACCCGGAAGAAGAGAAAGCCTTTGACAATTATCTCATAGAAAATAATAATGACAAAACTAGATTGATCCACTACTTGCTGACGCACCGCCACGTAGAAGCCAGCCACATTTTTTCTGTAAAAAAAAACTTTAACCCACATCAATCAATTGATGAGGAAATAAACTTTAACTCACCCGCTTGGAATTTACTAAATTTGGTTCACAAAAACGTACCCGAAATCTCAAAACGTTTTGCAAACAGCTGGAGAAAAAATACCTCGACATCGGCCAAGGGACGACGATTTTCACCATATCCCATTATAAATAACAACAATGAGTCTCATAAATTTCACCATAAACCAATGTCTCAATCGAGAGACGTTGATGGTGATGTTTACAACTTGGCAGTAGAAAAAACACTTGAGACGTGTCTCAAGCCCGATCGAGGTGGGCTTGGACCATTAAATTATACGCCTTTTCTAACTGCGCCATGCGCAACAATTAATACTCAACCAAAGTTTGTTACTCAAATAAATAACAATGGTAATATAAATGATATGGTATACCCAAAACGGAAGGTCTTCACGGGAAAGAGGGCTTTAAAAATGGTAATTGAGCCCGATAATGAAATAGTCAAAAAGCAGCAAAAACTTAACAACGAATCCAGGGACTCAACATTGAATGGTTGAATAATTTATCTACATATATATATATATATA